CCAATTTAGTCAGATGCAGAGACAGGGCTGGGAATTGGGTTCTTGGGTGAGTGGATTTGCCCACTCTCCTCCATTAGACTGTAAATTCTGACAAATGAGATATATTTGCTCAAGTATGAAGATTTCCAATGTTGTTAGTAACCAGGCAGCATGAAGTAACATTTTAGAAATATACTCTATTTTTTTTAAGAAGAACATTTTTTATCACTGCATCGTGTATAATGCAACATGAAAAAAGCCTACCAACTTTCACATTTGTGAGGAAACTCACATTACTGTAGATTAGTGCCAGGGCAGAGAAATGACCCTATTATCTCAGTAATGGTAATATTGTGCCTCACAGGGAAACTTGCATCATTAAGAGTGAGTTATTATTTTCTTGCAGACACTTTCTACATGTGTTATTAATATATGAAGCCAGAAAGAATTGAAAAGGTTTTTCTAGGGACTTGGGTATGTAACTTAAAGCTTTCACCCTTCCCCGAAACAGCACACAGATGTGTGTTGACATGTTTGCAGATGCGCACACACACGACCTCACACCTCCATTTCTTCGTATATATCTTTTCTTTCTACGCGGAATACCCTCTTCATTTCCTTGTTAGCTCTAAGACCCTTCTCAGTTGTGGCCTCCCTGGTGGTGAACTTCCTCGATCCTTACAATTAGGTTGGTGCTCCCTCTGTTTTCCTAGAATGGTTTATCCCCACTATTGTATCACGTTTTTGTTTGCCGATCATGTCTGTCTATCCTTATAACTCCCAGTTGAGTGTGTGCTTGTCAAAGACAGGGGCTGCCCCTTTCAGTTTCATATTCGTATCTTGTATGATGCCTGCGTATATTGGGTATGCAGTAACTATTAAATGAATAAAGGTGTATTGTCCATAGCATATACATTTTGCCACTGTCTTATTTTAAAAATGTGTTTAAGATGACCAAACAAATGACAAGAAAATGAGAAGGAAAAAGGAAGGAGGATGGAAAATGAAAATGGGGCCAGGCATGAACTCCTTCATGCCATGAGTCTGTAAGTGCACATGTAATATGAATATAAGTGCATCTACAGTAACATGAATATAAGTGCATTTACAAGGGACACATATATGTGAAACTTAAAAAATATGTTTAAAAAATCCGATCTGATATTTGAGCCAAAAATTGCATCTTTTTTTTTTTATAAGATTTTATTTATTTATTTGACAGAGAGAGATCACAAGTAGACGGAGAGGCAGGCAGAGAGAGAGGAGGAAGCAGGCACCCTGCTGAGCAGAGAGCCCGATGTGGGACTCGATCCCAGGACCCTGAGATCATGACCTGAGCCGAAGGCAGCGGCTTAATCCACTGAGCCACCCAGGTGCCCAAAAATTGCGTCTTTTAAATTTTGGTCTTAGGAAGATTTCTTATTTTTCCGGATGACACATTTTTGTCAATATATGTAGGATGCTCAAGGGTTTGTCTGGAATGCTCATTAGTGCTGAGATTGGGATGTAATCAGCATTTGTTGAAATGGAGTGGTCTCAGTTGGTCTCACTGCTATGAAAACAGGAATCTGTAATAGGGCTGTATAGGGGCTCTTCAGTTCCTGAAATTTTCTGTTATTACTTCTCTTACCTGTTCTCTTTCAAAAAGCACATAGTCATGTGGTAGGAATGCAAGAGTTCTCATTCGAAGTAATAACCTTCTCTTGGAGTAAGTATCTTTTAAATTAGTGTAACTAAAGTACCTGTGAATTATGGCTTGCCCTCTGGGTGACCTGTTTGCCAAGTTCAAATAAACAAACATATTCTCATTTGTCTGCTCTCAGGGATTAAATTTATGCAAATCTAGTAGATTTTTGGGGGGGGGTTTGTTTTTAATAAGAGACTCTTGAATCTAATTCTCTACACGATCTTGTTGATGGAGAACAACACTTTGTTTGCCATGTTGTTCCTTAATTAAGTGTTAAAGTAATGAGGTCTTATTATTCTGGGTAATTTATTTAATACAATGAAGCAGTTAGTCACTCACTGGCAGCTTTTCAAAGGAAGTGGGCCAGGATGCTAACCCATTTCTTTTGGTGTGCCAGCCATTAGAACTGTGTGTTCCAGGGATTTGCTAATCACTTGGCAACTGATTTAAAAGGCGGGAAAGACAGGATTCTTGAACGACTACCACTGACTCACTGACAAGACAGGGTGTGCTGGCTTCAAGGCTTGTCTGTTGGCATGCAGATCTTGCTGCCATAGGAAAGAAGACTTGATGATGGCAAAGAGCTTATGTGCTGCCTTTCTCATGTTTGTTGGATATCATGAGCATCGTTCTTGACCATGGCTTTGGTTTAGCAACTGAGAACTGCTATGTAGAGTGTACTACTCCAGTTGAATGTTTGTCTCCCTGTTTGTGTGACCCTTTGTCCACCTGTGTATCTGTTGGTTCATCTGTCCATCAAATACTAGATTTAAGCTGTCCATGAATGGGCTGGAATTAACCTCTGAAAGCACTGTTTAGAATTGAGGGTAGCAGACTTTTTCTGTAAAGGAATAGGTAGTAGAATTTTAGCCTGTAGACCATGCTGTCTTTTGTCAACTCCTTAGCTCTGCTGTTGTAGGGCAAAAACAGCCTTAAATGATATGTAAATGAATGGCTGTGTTCCAGTGAGCTACTGTTTACAAAAATTGACCTACCCACTGGTTTAGATAGAAGTATCTGGCTCAAACGTAGTTTACGTGTTATACAAAAACTTTAAAAAATGCTTTTAATGCTTATGAGTTTTCTAAAGCAGCTTATGCCTCAGGTTTGTTAATTAGCTTGTCATCTGCTTTGAGTAGTTTGGTAGATTTTAGTGTATTATTTAAACATATCTGTGATTTAAAAAATATTCATTTCTCTGGGGTGGTTATAGAAATGCTATTGGATTGGAAATATAAAAACAAGAAATAGAATTTTCCTCATCATTGATTACAGTACCATTAAATTTGATAGATTATACTTATAAATGATTTTAAAAACTATGTTTTTTGACATGAAAACATGACCAAGATATATTGCCAAGTGAAAAAAGGAGAGATGATAAGAAGACCTTCAGATCAGGGTGATTATATATGTGGAAAAAAAGATTCACACATGTTTACGAATGTGCATACTTGAATATTATGAACATCTGAAAAGACACTGAATTAGTCGGGGGTCTTAATTTTCAAGCAGAACTCCAACTCTGGCCCATATTAGCAGAAAGATGTATTGAAGGCTAGTGGACAGCTCAGAAATCTTTGGTGTGCCTAAGAACTGGGCTTAGAAGCCTTATGTCTAGAAGCAGTACCCAGAATTCTACTGTGTAACTGGTTTTGCAAAGATGCCCCAGCAGCTAACAGTGCCATGGAACTAGAGTTTGAATGGTTGCCACCACTGAGCCTGAAAGCCGAATCAGCCTCCATTCTTACCAGTACTCTAGGATGGATTCTGGATCCCTGCTGCTCTTCTTGGCCTGGGTGTGTTGGATCAGCAGAGCCCACATTTTGTGCCGTCACTGCAATGAAGCCTGGGAAAGTGCAGATGGGGTCCTTACTTCTGTTGTGGACCAAGGGCCCTGCCTCATCATATGGGGCATTTCCCTAATTTAGGAAGAGGATTAAGAAGCCTGGATAACACAAAGCATGAAAGCTGTACCCTGCAGATGCGCAGGAAGTTGTTGGTATTGATAACTCTGGACAGTGGAGTTCAGACAACTCACTAGGGCACAGATGGGACCTTTTAGTTTGCCATTCTTTGCTCATCGAATTAAAAAAAAAAATTAAAAATTAAAAAAAACCCCATGCAACAATGATAAAAGATTATAGGGAAAATTAACAAAAGGGATTGTTTTCTTCCCCCCAACCACTTCTATTACTTCTCCCACCGCTATTAATTACTGTATTACTGGTCTCAGGTGGGA